GACGCGGGGCTCGAACTCACGGACCGCGAGATCGTGACCTGGTTGAAGTCGGACGCTTAACCGACTGCGCCACCCAGGCGCCCCTCTGTGTTTAGTTTTTAAATACAGTATTTGCTACATACTCTTTTTAAAAACATATAGGTATATATGAAGCTTAATACTGAAATAAACACTTGGTTACCCACAGCCCATCCCAAGAACCCAAATCTCCATTCTTTGAAATAAAGGTAACTTATTTGTATTTTATCCACCCTTTGTTCATATTCTCATTCTGTGTGTGTGTGTGTGTGTGTGTGTGTGTGTGTGTTAATTTAGATGTGAAAGACAAAATCTTAAGAAAATAGGGAATGTTTACCTTTTATTATTCTTTTCTATTTGTATCTGTAGAATTGCCATTTAAAGATATTATTTGTTACTAAATATTGTATTTAGTTTCACTTATTTTTGAGCTTTTAAAAATGGTATGATTTTAATGTTCACTGACCTGCTTTTTCTCATTCATCATTATATATATAAGATTCATGCATACTCTTGCAGTGGATGTAGTTGATTCATTCTCACTGGTGAATGTCATTCCACTATGTTATTCTGCTATGTTATTCTCCTGTTGATGGACATTTGGGTTGTTTCATTTTTTTGCCATTATGAATGATATGCTACAAAAATTTTTGTATATGTCTCCTGGTGAAACATGTATAAGGTTTTCTCTTTTTGCAGATTCACCAGACCTAGATTATAGAAATGTTCAAATTTTTAAGATAATGCCAAATTGCTTCCCAAAGAGGCATTCTTTTTTTTTTTTTTTTTTTTAATTTTTTTTTCAACGTTTATTTATTTTTGGGACAGAGAGAGACAGAGCATGAACGGGGGAGGGGCAGAGAGAGGGAGACACAGAATCGGAAACAGGCTCCAGGCTCTGAGCCATCAGCCCAGAGCCTGACGCAGGGCTCGAACTCACGGACCGCGAGATAGTGACCTGGCTGAAGTCGGACGCTCAACCGACTGCGCCACCCAGGCGCCCCACGAGGCATTCTAATTTACATATCCAGTTGCAGTGTATAAGAATTTTTACTCTTCCACAGCCTTGCTTGATATTGGCTAATACTTGATATTTTCAAGTCCTTGTGGTCTTTTCTTTTCCCACATTGTCCTTGGGTATCAGTGTTATGCCAGTGTCATGAAATGAGTTGGGACTGTTCTCTGCATTTCTGTTCTCTGGAAGCATTTGTTTAAGATCAAAATGATCTGTTCTTTGATTTTTAAAACTCACTCATAAACTGGTGGGGCATTTTCTTTCTGGAAAGATTCTTTTAAAAGATTTATATTTATTTTAGGCTTTTAGTATTTTTATTATAAAAATTATGAACACATAAAAAATACACAAAATATTATAGTTAACTCCATGAATTCCTATACCCAGTTCCAGCAATCATCATTCCATGGTCCATCCTGCCCCCTCCTTACCTTAATCCACTTCTGTCAAGAAAGACTGGAGATATTGTAGTGAAGGAAATGGAGGACATTTGAATTTATTTGTAAATATTTTACTATATGTCTCTAAAACATAAAGGTCTTTAAAAAAAAATATAACCTAATACCATTATTCTACCTTAAAAGAAACAATTCCTTAATATCAAAGAGCCAGTTGGTTTTAAACTTATAATTACTTAATAAATGTTATAAAAGGATTTAGTTATATAAAAAATATATATGAATTATATATCTCACTTTAAAATTTGTTTATAAATTTATATATAAATCATGCATGTGCATGGATTATTTGACTGATTGATTTGAATCAGGATCCAAAGAGTGGCAGCTTATTGTGATTGATTGAGATCCCTTTCCAAGTAGATACAGTCTTAAAATCTGATTTGATTGATTATTGATTTCTAACTTTTTTCATTGTGTTGAAAGAATATTATCAGTTCCTTTGAAATATACCAAGGCTTTTTTTTTATGGCCTCATACACAGTCAAGTTTTTAAATATTAAATGCTTCTTGAAAAGAATATGTACTTCTCTTATTATTGGTTGTGGGATTCTGTATTCATTAAATAAAGCTGTTTAATATCAATTTTTATTTCTCTTATGTCTCTTAAAGAGACCAGATTGTTGTTTTTCCTATAGATTTTCATGGCAGCAAGCATCTGCATGGTGTAGTTTAACATATTCTTCTGCCTTTTTGATTCTCTGTATTTCCATAAATTGATAGTTGGATTTAGAGAATTGATTAGATTCATGTTTTCTTTTTCCAAGGCTGTTCATTGGTGGTGATGTGTTCCTTGATCATGAAACTCATAATAGTTGTCTTCTTTTTTTGTGATGTTAGCAGCCATTTATGTTTAATGCGTGGATTTATTAAACATTTAAAATGATCTAGTTCTATTATTCTTTCTTCATTTATTAGCTAGAATACTTCTGTAATGAGAAGCTTACTTTCATTGATTATTTGTTTACCCAGTGGTATGGTTTGTATATGAAAGTTGAGAGAAATGCCTGTTTCCCTTTGTTTGCTGGTTTTCAGTAAATTTGTTCCCCATTGTAGTCCAATGATTGTCATTTCTTTTGTATCAGTATGAGCTCATTGGATGAAACATACTTAATGTTTCAAAATATAGCACTTGTTAATTTTATTGACATGCAGATTGTTACAATTTTGGCCAGTGGAAACCTTTTCAAGACCTTTGGCACAATCCTAGTAGTCTTTGATACCATTCTTGATATCTGGATGAGAAGATATTCTAAGCTCATCATGTGTGTTTCTAGCCTTAAGACCTGGAATTGGCCTTTTTTTCAAAGAGCCTTGATTCCCTTTAGAGGGAAATGGTATTTGTAGGTAACAGTCTGGATACTACAGGTGTGCATTTCCACAGAACTGGTCATTATTTCTAAACCTGTTAATGGTTAGAACTAGAAAAATTGTGTGTGTTTTTATTTAAGTTGAAAGATATCATGAGTTTAAATTGATACTTCCAATTCAAATTGAAGAGCATAAGGAGAACTTTTTCCTTGTTGTGTCTTCCTTCTCAAGAATTCCACTTTCTCAAGGACCTCAGGAATGGGAAAATTTAGAATGTCTTATATTAATCATTCGCTTTCTTCCTCATCAAGTGATCTTAGAATAGCAATACTAAAATTACCACTAATGGTATGATTCCTGAAAATGGGGTCTAGTGATTCACTTCATTGGTTATAGGTGGTTTTTTTTCTTATGTCAATTGTAATACATTATTTTTTATAGGAATTTGTCCATTTCTTGTAACCTTGCATACTTATTGACACAAGATTGTTCTGTGTCCTACTATCTTTTAAAGCACTGCTGCCAATGTAGCTGTGCTCTTTTCACTTGTATTGCTACATATTTGTGCTTTTCTTACTGCTTTGTCGTCTCAGAAATTGGTTGATTTTATTTTAGTTTTTTCAAGGAACAACTTTTGGCTTTATTAATTGCTTATTTTTTACCTTCTTCTTTCTATTATCTTTGAATTTTTTCTTTTGTTCCCTCACTACCCCCCTGTCCCCAACTTCTTTGATAGGTTACTTAGCTCATTATTCATCACCCTTTCTTTTTGCTAATATAAACATTTAAGGCTCTTAGTTTGCACTTAATACATTGTTTTCAATACCAATTTTTTAATAAAGTCTAATTATGGTAGAATCAATTTTTCTCTGATAGTTTTATGAACTTTTGATACCATGGTTTTGCTACCTTACTAAGATTATCTTCCCCCACCTTTTAACCAAGCAGTTAGCAGTTTGGGTAAATTTCCCCTCATTTAGTGTTTATATTATAACTTCATACATGGTGTGGATGTACCCCACTTGCATATTGGGTATGTTTCTAAATTTTTCGTTTCCTTCTTTCTTTCTCTAGTAGTTTGTCCACAAGTTCTTATGTTGTTTTTCATTTTTTTACTTTTTAAAAAAGTTAGCTTTATTGAGGAATAATGTACATGTAGTAAAATTCACCCCTTTTAGCCTAAGGGGATTTGACAGATACATATAGTTATAAATCCTTCACCACAGTCAAGATATAGAAGAGTTCCGTAATCCCCCAAAACTTTGCTCATGGCACTTTGTAGGCTCCCTTTCCACCATTCTATGGTGCTGTCTTTTCTTCGTTTTCAGGCTAGTTGGTTTCTCTGTGACCTTGGCTCTTTGAGAAGTTCTACAAAAGTTATAATTTTATAGATTATCTGGCTTTCGTTATTGTTAGAGTGTGAATGGTGTTCTTTCTAGCTGGACACATTAAACACATTTTTCTTAGCACATCTTTTTTGGGGGTAGATTAGAATTTCCATGTATCATTTTTGCATTAACACTGCCATTTGAATATCTTTCTCTCATACGTGTATTTTATTTTATATTCTTGTATATCTTCATTGGAATTTTATTTGGTGCCACAGTGATCTCTTAGGTCATTCTCTAATTTATACTTAAAATCTTTTAAAGTTTAGCATTAAAAGATTATCACCTTAACACATCAATTTTAAGTTTATGTTATCCTGAATTTAACTCCATTGGAGGCCATGTTTTGTTAATATATAATCAAAGAAATGTTACAGAAAATTGAAAGTGTATAATTTTTTGATTGCCAGACTTACTCATTTGTGCTTGTCACTTTAGTATGCTTAGCTAATTTTAAGGCCATATGAAAATTTTTTGCTGAATATGTTGTATCAAAGGCATTGATTTTTATTACCAAGAAGTTATTAATATTGGTAAAATTTTGAAAATATCTCATCTGAGTTGCTGGTGTCTCTTGTTTTTTTGTAAGTGGTATAATAAATGGTATAGGATAGTTTATTTCTTAGATATCCACAGTTTATTGGATTAATTTAAATGCTTCTATTAATGTATTAAATCTCATATTAATTAAATACATGATAACATATCATCATCTGGAAACAGTATTGCATATTTTAACCTGATTTTATCTCCTTACTACTTTCATGGCCTTTAACATTGGCTTACTAAATATTCTTTTTACTTTTGTAGGTTATTTTAGTGTCTGCCAATAAATTGACTCGTTATATAGAACCGTGCCAGTTAACAGAAGATTTTGGTGGGAGTCTAACCTATGATCACATGGACTGGTTAAATAAGAGGCTGGTTGGTATATTACCATGAGATGAAATGTTATTACATACAAATAAGACATACTTTGGTAACTTTATCATTTTAATCAACTGCAGTACAGATTGTTCTTTGTTATAAAAATAAAATATATTGCATATCACATGATAGCATAATGCTTGAAGGCAGATAACTCTGGAGTCACATTTGGGTTTGCTTTTGGTGTTGTCATTTATAGCAGTATTCTTACTAGTCAAAATCGTTAATGTTTTAGTAGAATAACAGAGTAGCATATTCTCCTAAGAGGTAATCTAGTTGATGTACCATCTTTAGAGATATTTAAACATCATTTTGAGTTGAAAAGCAGTTTGACAGGTTAAAGTTGGTATCTGAAAATGTATCTTTGGCCAGGCTGAAATTGCCCTACTCTGCATGATAATGGCATTGTTGGATTGAACTGCTGGGGACTAAAAGAACAACTTTTCATTAGGTCAGTTTAGATTACAGTTAATCGTTGGGGACCTCCACAGTTGAAATTCTGTCTATAACTTTGGACTTGCCAAAAACATAACTACTAACAGCCCACTATTGGCTGGAACCCTACTGATAACATTAGCAGATGATGAACATATATTTTGTATGTTATACATATTATATACCAAGTTCTTATAATACAGCAAGCCAGACAAAAGAAAATGGTAAGAAAATCATAAGAGAAAATACATTTATAGTATTGTACTATGTTTATCGAAAAAAATTTGTGTATCAATTTGGACCCATGCAGTTCAAAACCATGTTGTTCAAGGGTCAACTGCTAATTTTATTGAGGAATAACAAACTTTTGGGTATTTCAGAATGGATAACCAATTTCCATCTTATTTGGACAGTGATACCAGACAAATGAGTATCCCCTTTATTAAGAACAGACTTAACCAAATCCCTTTTTAGAAATATTTTAAGAAACCATGTTAAGGGGCACCTGGGTGGCTCAGTCAGTTGAGCGTTTGGCTCTTAATGTCAGCTCAGGTTGTGGTCTCACAGTCAGGAGATCGAGCCCATGTTCAGCTCTGCACTGAGGGTGGAGCTTGCTTGGGATTCTCTCTGTCTCCCTGTCTCTCCCTCTGCCCCTCTCTCCCTCGTGCTTGTGTGTGCCCAGGCGCATGCTCTCTCTCAAAATAAATAAACTTAAAAAAAATGTTAAAATTATAACTAATTTATTCTTTCCTACATGCTTAGATATAAAACTTTTTAACTAATATATGCAACTAGTATGGATTGGTGATAGAAAAACATAAAGAAACGTTCTGTAACTGGAATTAGAAGATAGATGAGTACTGATCTAAATTATGTTCATGTAGTTAAAACTGTCACTGGTGCAGATGTTTCTCCATGAAACACAGGAATAAAAATAAACTTGTCTGATTGAGGAATAAAAATAATTTCTTACTCTATTTAAATTTTAAAAATTTCTTCTCCATTGAAGCTATTCATTGTTCTAGGAGGGATTTTGTCTTCTCTCCTTAAGTTGTTGTGTTTTGGTGGTTGAATTGTACTAACTGACATCAAGAGAAGGAAAGGGAATTCTGCCTGGCTAATTCTGTTGATCTTAACTGAAAATCCTTATGTAAACACTAACTTTAAGATTATTCTTAATATGTTAACAAAATCTCATATTGTAGGTTTTTGAGAAGTTTACAAAGGAATCTACATCATTACTAGATGAACTTGCTTTGATTAACAATGGAAGTGATAAAGGAAGTCAGCAAGAGAAAGAGAGGTAGGTGGCTAGTGTCATGCAATTATACCTTTGCAAAGCTGTGATTAACCTGATGAAGGATAGATACATCAGTTATTAATGCAAGCTAGAAGAATTAAGGTAAGCAATTCTCCAATCAAATTGACATACAAAGGTTGAATTAAATTTATTAATTCATGAGAATTTGCTTTACATGTAAAATTTCTTGATTTGAATCAAAGTTTCTCTACAAAAGACTTCTTTTTTAATGTTTATTTCTGAGAAAGAGTGTTCTTGTGCATGTTGGGGAGGGGCAGAGAGAGAGGGGAACAGAGGATCGGAAGCAGGCTCTGTGTTGAGAACAGAGAGCTCGATGTGGGGCTCAAACTCATGAGATCATTACCTGAGCCAAAGTTGAACGCTTAACTGAGCCATCCAGGCACCCCTCTACAAAAGACTTTTTGATGAATAGTAATGTATTTACTTTATTCTGACACTGTGAAAAATTCATTTGCAAGAACATGTTTTCAAAATGAAACCATTTTCATTTTAGAGTTCTACTTTGTGAAGTCTGGAAAAGGTTGCAGCTTGAAATAAAATTATTATAACCTTATTTAAATACATTAGTTCTTAAATGCCTACCTTCTAGAACTCTTATGTCCTTGTAAAATATGATATTCATGAGTTTAAGTTGGGGAGTTTAGTGTTTTATGACACTTGGATGAAGTAATTGTTCAGTTGTATTCTGTAAATGTAACTGACTAGATTTATCATTTTAACGAATTTCCATTGGACTTTACAATCTTAAGTTTTCATTTTTTGTTGGTAGGCCAGATCCCTCTCCCCAGTTAAAAACTCTTAACCCTTTCTGGTCTATCAACAAAGTGGTAACTAGAACAGTAATTTTTTTTTTAATGTTTTTATTTTGTTTTGAGAGAGAGAGTGTGAGCAGGGAAGGGGCAGAGAGAGAGGGAGACACAGAATCCAAAGCAGGCTTCAGGCTCCAAGCTGTTGGCACAGAGCCCGACGCGGGGCTCGAACTCACAGACTGTGAGATCATGACCTGAGCCGAAGCCAGATGCCCAACCGACTGAGCCACCCAGGTGCCCCAGAACAGTAATTTTTCATTAGGAAATTTGAAAGAGTCAATACTCTCCCTTGTCTACATCTTTTGAATCTTATCTTAAAAATATAATGGGACCTTGATAAAATGCATCTTCTTATTCCATGAATACAGTGTAGTCACATATCAGTTAATCGAGGTAATAAGGTAAGAGGAATGTGAGAAGGTTGGAGTTTAACACCAAATCTTGATTTAAGCAGAGTAAAAATATAGAAACAAATTGTTTGAATGGAAATCTAGTTAAGTCACAGCAAGCATTTAGGAACATTACTGCCCTGTAGATACCATATAAAAATATAAAATGTAAAATTTTTACATGTGTAACTATCTGTGTGTGTATAGATAACACACATACTGTGTGTTACGGTTTAGGAATTGAAAATGTCATGGAAGTTGCTTGACAAAAATTAGCCAAATCTCTTGTGTTTTGAATAGTCCGCGAGAGTAATTTGAAGTTTCTTAAAGTCATATTCATATCGAAAGACATTCTAAGAAGGTCCCTGTTGAAAGTGGGTTCATGGTCACAGCTTAATGCTGTTTACCATGTTTCCCTCTCTAAGAATGACTGGTTCTGAGAAAGCATTCTTGTAAAGAAACCTGCTTATTTGTTTCTTAGAACTTCCTGTACTTACATGCCAATGGGAACCCTTTTTCTCCACCCAATAATATCTTATTCAGTGTTTTGGGAAATGCTGTTTTGCATGACTACATGAAGTATCAAATAAAATCTTGTATTTGTCATTTCCTCCCCAAGGAGCTCAAGTGATATTGCCTAGTCTCTTTTAAATGCCAGATAACCAAGTCCATCCTCTTACAAATTTTCATCACTTTTTTAATGTCATTCCTCAGGAAGCATCCTGGCTACACAAGAGGTGAGGGCCTAGATTAATTGGCAAAAGTGAAAGATTTAGAGCAGGACCTGTCATTTCCAGCAGCAAGGTCCTACCTAGGTTTTGATTTGTATGTACCCTATCTTTCTATCATTTTCTACTTCCCTTATATGTTTAGGAAAATACAGGGCATAGTCCAACTGCAAATGAAACTCAATTAGTACAGGGAAGAGAGTACAACTGCTTGAGGATGCACACACACATGAATATTAGAGATTATTTGCAGCACTCAGAGGTTGCTGTAGATAAGTAAATGTTTGATTGGAGGATGGCTCCATACATTTTTAATGTTAACATTTCTGGGTTATTATATAGTTACACATTTCATTTTGGAACAGATATGCAGTGGGAATATACTAAAATGGTTTCCTTTGATATATTTGAAATAATACTATAATGATACACTGTTTTTTCCAAGTAGTGTATTTGGTGATTTATCGCAGACTTTTGGGGGGCTACTAGTATTTAATTTTCTAATTGGTTTCTTTTTAATTTTAAGTTTATTTTGAGAGGCAGAGAGAAAGAGGGAGGGACAGAGAGAGAGAGGGAGGGAAAGAGAATCCCAAGCAGGGCCTGTACTGTCAGCACAGAGCCTGACACAGGGCTCAAACCCACAAACGGTGAGATCATGACCTGAGCTGAAATCAGGAGTTGGATGCTCAACCAAGCTACCCAGGCACTCATCTCTAATTAGCTTTTTTTTTTTTAATTTTCTTTTTAGCATTTTAATTTATTTTTGAGAGAGACAGAGACAGAGTGGAAGCAGATGAGGGCCAGAGAGAGGGGGAGACACAGAATCTGAAGCAGGCTCCAGGCTCTAAGCTGTCAGCACAGCCCAATGCAGGGCTCGAACCCACGAACCATTAGATCATAACCTGAGCCAAAGTCAGACTGAGCCACCAGGTGCCCCTCTAATTGGTTTTTTAATGCTTAAGGATATTAGCCTGGTAGAACAGTGTGCTTCACATTTCCATACTCTACTCTCTTGTTTTGATAATGTATATATAAAAAGTTTTCTTAGGTTGCATGGATAGAAATATTGTTTTAAAAAATTATTCTTTTGGTGTTTGTCAGGTCTGTGGATTTAAACTTTCTTCCATCAGTTGATCCTGAAACAGTTCTTCAGACAGGTAAGATGAAAAAATGTGTGTATCAGTGATAATCATAATCTAATAAACCAATCGTATATTGATTGGTTCATGAAATAAACATTGATTAAGCATGTATTATGTAATAGAAACTTGGGAATTTCAGACTGCTCTTTGGTGTAACCTAACTGTGTTAATATACTTCACAATATTTTTAAAAAGTATTAATAATGATAAATAGTTAAATTATTTCTCCCTTGAAATATTATTTCTTTATCTGTAAAATAGAGATAAAAGTTTCTATTTCATTGGATTGCTGTGAGATTATTGTATAGTCATTATGTTCTAAGATTGTATTTTTAGGTATTGTCATGTTTTATTCTCCTAATGATCTCTTGAGATAATTTGTTACTATTTTCTCTGTTTTGTACTTGAGGAGGCCAAGGCTTAGGGATATGAAAAACTTGCTCATGAAGAGTAACTGTTAAACTCCATCTATCACCATATCACTAAAAACAGGTTACTATTGTCTGAATTTTAAGATGGGGAAACTGAGGCAAAAGGTTAGTAACTTATGCAAGTTACACAGCTAGTAATGCTGGAGTTGGGACTTGAACCAAGGCAGTTTGGTTTCAAAGTATGGTCTTTGAAATCATTATGTGGTACTGCTCCTCTAATGGAAGTGTTTCCATAAGGAAAACATTAAGGGTATCAATTGTAAAAGCAGAAAAATAAATTACTTCAATCTTAGTGGCTTTGTGTGTATGTGTATGTGTATAAACTATATATATATATGTGTGTGTGTGTGTATATATATATGTGTGTGTGTGTGTGTGTGTGTGTGTAGAGTCTTGGCAAAAGTCTTGGAAGCAGTTGTTCTTCTAATTATAAAACATAATGAAGAGTAAAGAAATAAATTCAAAATATCTGCATTGTATTGATTCAGTTGTGCCAAGTGTTTTCAGTATGATATAGATCTTACTTCCTTAGAGAACAAAGAAATAATTGTAATCCCTGAATTGCTACGTTTAGCAGATACAGTAGACTGTCAGTAAAAATATGGCTTACTCTAGGTTTCAAACGTAGTTCAGTGTTTCTATTTAACATTTTCAAAGCTACTGAAGCCCTTGAATTAAGAACTTTTTAAATTTGTATTTTAAAATTAACTTTATATGCCACTAAGTTCTTTTTTTAATATGCTATTGACTCTTAAATGTTTTTAAGTTTATTTATCTTTTTCTTTAAGTTTATTTACTTTGAGAGAGTCACGTGCGTGTGCGCAAACCAGGGAGGGGCAGAGAGAGAAGGAGAGAAAGAGAATCCCAAGCAGGCTCCACACACAATGCAGTGACCGACCTGGGGCTTGAAGTCCTGAACCATGAGGTCATGACCTGAGCCAAAATCAAGAGTAGGATGCTTAACTGACTGAGCCACCTAGGCACCCCTGCTATTAAGTCTTAAAGTAGGGATGGGAAGAGAGTATAAAAATAGAGAAGTTTAGAATAATTTTGGTTATCTTTTAGAAACTGGAAATACCTTCAAATCATAATAAAATTGTTTCCATATATTTAAAGCCATTTAAGTTTAGGATGTTTCCCTGAATAAAGATTAAGAGAATTTAAAAGTATCTGCATATTTTTTTGGTCCTTGTCTAATAATTGAAATAGTATTATCCTGGAAAAACAGTTTGTGATTTATTCACTTTTAAAATTGTTAATAGGGGCGCCTGGGTGGCGCAGTCAGTTAAGCGTCCGACTTCAGCCAGGTCACGATCTCGCGGTCCGTGAGTTCGAGCCCCGCGTCAGGCTCTGGGCTGATGGCTCAGAGCCTGGAGCCTGTTTCCGATTCTGTGTCTCCCTCTCTCTCTGCCCCTTCCCTGTTCATGCTCTGTCTCTCTCTGTCCCAAAAATAAATAAACGTTGAAAAAAAAAATTAAAAAAAATAAAAAATAAATTAAAAAAAAATTGTTAATATATTTACAGTTTTAGATATTGCACATTCTGCAATTTTAATTTCTCATGCATGAATGCATTTTCTTTACATGAGTTTGCTGTAATTGAATAACAGTGAATACAATTCTGACACTGGTGTGACCCATCATGATTTGCAGTTAATAATTATAGAGATTCCTATAGACAGATTATTTAAATTTTATTTCGTACCAGTAATAAAGCTTTCTCCCTATAATCATACATGTTGTTACACTGTTAGCGTTCGTCTTAGGTGCTATGATTAAGGGTATGGGTTAATACTGAAATCCTACAACATCCTGCTTAGTATTGATTAGTATCATCAGATAGAACATACTAGTTACTACCATCATACAGAAATCTCAGAGCGTAATTGTGTTCTACAGGGAAAGAGGATTGGTTGGCATAATTTCCTGAGTAATGAATCCACAAATAACAAAGAATGTAATGACAGCTTTAGAAAAAAATATCTTTACTAAATAGCGTAGCATATATAGTATATACATTCATGATATATAGCATATGTATAGTTTATATGTACGTTAATATTCATATATGCAGTTTTCCAACTCATTTCTATATAAATTTAAAAGTTGCACTTCAGTACTTATGACCTGGTAGATAGTTAGGCAGACATATAGGCAGATAGGTTCTAAAAATAAAGGATTAGAATGGAGAAGAGTGATAAGTAAGAATTGTATTTCTCTATGGATGTTAATTATAACTGTGTATCTTTCATTCATAAAGGGCATGAATTGTTGTCCGAATTACAGCAGCGTCGATTTAATGGCTCAGATGGAGGGGTCTCATGGTCTCCTATGGATGATGAACTGCTGGCCCAGCCACAGGTTATGAAGTTATTAGATTCACTGAGAGAGCAGTATACTCGCTACCAGGAAGTTTGTAGGCAACGTAGTAAGCGTACACAGTTAGAGGAGATTCAGCAGAAGGTAATGCAGGTAGGTGTCTGATTTGAGTATGTTTAACTTTTGAAAATTGTAAATGCTAGAGTTTTTAAGAAATAATTTTTCCTGTGTGACTGATTTTATACTAAGCCTTATTTATACTATGTAGAGAACCTAAGTCATATCAAACCACACTAAAATCATTTTCTCTATATCTTTACAAATAGCGTTTGCATTAAAACTATATTATTTCTACAGTGATGACATTGAGCATACATCTTACTCTATTATGAACTTTAAAAATAACTAGTTGTTGGGAACATTGTGGTCTCTGTATTCTTGCAATAAATAACATTTTATTGTTGATTATTGATTTATTCTTAATTTCTAATAACTTGTTTTTTTGTTAATTTAGGCATTATGGAGAGTTATTCTTTCCTAGCAAAATGATAACATGTAATATAAGGAATTTTAGTATGAAATTTCATTATTTTTTAATGCTGATAGAAACCTTTAAATGTATTTAATACTTATGAATCTTAGGTCCTTTTAAAATTTTTGTTAAAACAATAGGCTAAAAATACTGAAACTCAATACTAAGACATTTCTGTTACTTAGACCACATCCTGGTTTTTCTCTGTTGAATTATTAAGAAATAGATCTTAAATCTCTTAAAAAAATCCCACATTGAAATGTCCCAATGTTTTTATCTAGATTAATTCGTTCATAAGGTAAATATTTTTTAAGTGCTTATTATGTAGAAGGCATTGTGGTGGGTTTTCTATAGAATTATGTAACGGTAGATGTGGTTTTTGCTATCATCACGTTAAGGGGACAAAGTCTTAAGTATTCAAGGGTATGACTGAAATGTGTGGGCCTTTATATAGGAAGGATTGTTCCTCTGGCTGTAGGTAATCTAGGAAGATTTAGCATACTTGAGCTTATTCTCCAAGAATATGTAAAGACTTCACCAGGCACCTCCTTTAGGTTTTAAAGGAGAATTGGCACTTTGTGCAGCAGAAAGACTAACATGAATAAACACTAGCAGTATGAAATCCCAAACTCTGTTGAGGAAAAAGGAAGCAGTGAGTCACCATGGGAAGTTTTTGGCCTTTGAATCATAAAGCATGGTCAACAAGTAAGATCTAAATCTCAGTTCCTCCACTTATTTACTGTGTGATCATGATCACATTATTCACCCACCTGAGCCTCAGTTTGACTTCCTTCTTTTTTTTTTTTTTATGTTTTTTATTATTTTTGAGAGAGAGAGAGAGACAGACTGTGTATGAGTGGGGCAGGGGTAGAGAGAGAGAGGGGAACAGATTATCCAAAGTGGGCTCCTCCCTGACAGCAGAGAGCCCGACATGGGGCCTGAACTCACCAACCGGTAGATCATGACCTGAGCTGAAGTTGGACACTTAACTGACTGAGCCACCCAGGCACCCCTGACTTCCTTCTTTTTTTAACCTCCCTTTCTTTCTCTTTCTTCCCTTCATTAACTAAAACAGGGGTAACAAGACCTCTTTATAAAGGTTTGTTGAAAGAACCCAGCGCTTGATTAATGGTAGCATTATATTTATCTCCATTGCACTAGAGTCCAGTCTATATATCTGGTTCAGTTGTTGGCAAACTTTTCCTATAAAGGGCCAAATAGTAAATGTTTAGGCTTTGTGGACGGTACAGTTCTTGGAGCTGCTGTGGCTATTTAACTCTATTGTAATGTGTAGACATAATGTAAACAAATGTGTGGCTATGCTAAAATAAAACTTTGCAAAAATAGTGGGTAGTCAGAATTCGCCTGCAGGCAGTAGTTTGTTGACCCCTGACTAGGAACATCAGGGTGTTAGAGCGAAAACGACTTGAAAGGAAGGGGAAGTTGGATCATGGAGGATGGTGAATTCCAGGCAAAAGAATTTAGTCTTTCTCATGATAGCCACATATAAAGGGAAGATTTCCAAGCATACATTAATTGTATGCTTTTGTAACTTTTGTAACTTTTTCTATGTAATATATTTGTAAATTATAGACAGTATTAAACCTGGGTACACTTCAGCCAAGTAGCCTGAGAGTATCTTTGAAAACCATAAAGGTAGACTAGCATAGTGGTATATAACTGACCTAAGTGATCTGGGTCCACCTTTTTCTACTACTTCCAAGTTGTTTACTCTTGGGAAGGAAGTGTAACTTCTCAGTGCACTAGCTTCCTACTCAGTAGATTGAGGATAACAATAACAATAATACCTGCTTAATAGGGGCACCTGGGTGACTCAGTCGGTTAAGGGGCCAACTTTGGTTCAGGTCATGATCTCGTGGTTCATGAGTTAAAGCCCTGCATCGGGCTCTGTGTTGACAGCTCAGAGCTTGGAGCATGCTTTGGATTGTGTGTCTCCCTCTCTCTCTGCCCTTCTCTTGCTTGTGCTCACGCTCGCGCTCCCTCTCTCTCTCAAAAATAAATAAACATTAAAAAAAACCCACAAAAATTAAAGAAAATAATGTTTATAAAGTGTTTAGTGTTTAGCATATAATGAGTTTTCTATTAATAGTATCTATTGCTCCCTTATTAAAAAATGAATGTCTACAGTAGTGTGACTTTTTGCTAGGTAGAATACAGTGGTGAGTAAAAATGCAATTGTACCAAGCCCCAAGGAGAGTGGTGGGAGTAAGAGTAAGAAGATAATCAGAGATGAATCATTTTTCTGGCTTGCAAGACTTGATGGGTAGTCTTGTCCAGTTAGGGAACGCTGGGTTTAAGTGTGGGTGGAAAAGGGTGTGAGAAACATGGGTTTGGTTTTAGACACGTTGAATTTGAGGTGACTTTGAGACACAAAAAATTAGAAGGGTAGTCCCAAACAGGTCCAGAAATCAGAGAAGTCTGGGCTGATCACATAGTTGTTTGTCATCATGTATAAATGGCGGTTAAAAGCATTAGTGTGGGTGAGAATTGCCTGGGAAAGTGCTGAGACTAGGTGAGAAGAGGTCTTTTTCATTGAGCTTTGAGAAACTCCAGCATTTAAGGACAAGATAGAGGAGCATATTCCTGAAAAGAAGGCAGTGAAGGATTGGCCAGAAATGGAGGAGAAAAGTGTGTAAGAGTTCTGTGTCATGGAAGCCAAGGGAAGAGAGCATTTCAGGATAGACCCAGGAACCCTGTGGAATGCTCTAAAAGATGGAATAAGAGGACCGCTTAACATGTCCATTAGAATGCACAAGATTGAGGCCACGGGTGATCCCTAAGCATGGAGGGCTGGAAGCACACTGGAGTGAATTTGGAATGACAGTGAAGTGTGGTGAAGGAGGCACTGAGTGTAGACAACTCACTGAGAATTTTGTCTCTGAGGGAATGATGAGAAATAGCAATGCCTAGAAGTGATAGAAAAAGGGTGGTATTAATTTGGTAAAGGCTGCTGTAATGAAGTACCACAGCCCAGGTGGCCTAAACCACAGAAACTTATTTTTCCACAGTTCTAAAGGCTAAAAGTTTAAGATGAAGGTGTTAGCAAAGTTGATTCCTTCTGAAGGCAGCGAGGGAAGAATCTGTCCCAGATACTTGGCTTCTCAGTGCCAAGAATCTTTCTGTATTTTACGTTGCCTTCCCTCTGTACCTGTCTGTGTCCAAATTTCTCCTCCTTTTAAGGATGCTAGTCAGATTCGGGCCCTAACAACTTCATTTTGTTTATATATTTTCAATCTCAGTTTAATTGCCTCTTTAAAGACCCTATCTTCAGATAAGTATGATTATATTCTGAAGTACTGAGGGTAGGAATTTCAACTTTATGAAGAACACAACTCAGCTCACAACAGGGGTCAGGTATAATTTTGTTTATCTTTTTAAAGTAATGTGGAAAACTGTCAGAGGTTTAAAGACCAGGAAGAAGTATCTGTTTGGAAGGAGGGGTTGAATATACAGGAAAGAAAGGATAATTAATATTATCAAGTTCCTGACAAAGTGGAAATGAATAGACTTCCAAAGCACAGTTGAAAGGATTAGCTTTAGAATGGAACAGGGAGAACTCCATTGTAACAGGAGGAATGGTGGGTAGGATGGATCCAGAGGTGCCTCCGTACAAGTCAGACGTCATGAAGATGAATGGGTTCCTGTGTGATGTGTTCTTTTTTTCTGTAAAGTAAGACAGAGAAGGGCAATTTGCTTAGAGGTACAGGTTTGCAGGTGGAGTAGGTAGTGGTGGTTGAAGAGGATGAGGTTAAAATAAAACTGGAGAGAATTCAAAATTTTCTTTGTGAGAATTGGAAGAGTAAAATTACCACACAACTGTACTTGTATTTTTAGGTGGTGTTAATCTTGGATTTATGGCAGAAACTTTCTGGCTTATTGTGTGACCTTATCAATTCTTAGCTAGATGTTGAGGTGCAGGCACAGCGAACACAGGTGATGGGATCATCCAGCATTTATACTTCACTACATGGGATCAGTGGGTATGATAAAAAAAACAGAATGGCACATGCATTTTTAAAATGATGGACCAGCTCAATTGGATAAGAAACTAGAGAAGGGAGGTGATGGTATTTATGATGGTGATGATGGTAATGAGATTATGGTTAAAAACAAATAACCTTTATTACAATTCATTTTCTTTATGTGAGTTACACATTAATTGGATAGAACATTAATCTTCATATAATGGTTTCTGCTCTCTATTTTTCACAGGTCACATCTTAGGCAAAGATTTATTTCTTTAGCCAGAATGATTACGTAAATGTAGCTATATAGTCATGTGTATTGATCATGTCAGCATACACAGAGCATAAACTGTACTGTCTATAGTCTTGCAAATTTGGGGAAAATGAAAAAAAATTTTTGTTTGTATAAAGATAATCATAAAGTTGAGTATCACTGTTTATGTTAAATTAGTGAAAATTGAATTTTTCCAAATTTCTTTTGTACTGTCTTATTACTGACAGCATTATGGAAGAGAAATCAATAGCTCTAATAAACTATGACAGGTAATAACCAATGTAATTATCATTTATTCCCCACAGTTTAAATTGGTGGCATTAAGAGATCACGTGGTATGCAGAGGTTCTTCTCCATGCTG